TATTTTCCAATATTTTCCCACATTTTCCTGGCAGTCGACGATGCCTTGTGTCTGTGTGTTTCTTCCCCTCCTGACGACCGACAGACGGACGGGCCCGGACTCCGGCACCGAAAGGGCGGCCCTCTCAGAAGGCGGGCGCACGGCACGCGCAGGCCCTCACACATCGGCAGAGGCAGTGGGCTGTCAGATATACCGTCGGGGCGTTGACCTGAGGAACACCAAATAAGGAACGAGGCCCCTAGTTCCACAAGTGAATCTTCGATTTGACATCGAGAACCGAAGGATAAGATAAGGCGAGCTGTGAAACAGTTGAGGAACACGGAGCCCCTCCCCAACGAAAAGGGTTCCTTCTTCAGCGCCCCGACTGTGTGTGGGGGGGAACTATTGAGATCGCATGCAGGTGCGTCACGCGAGAAGCCTTCTCGTCGTCTTCCGCTGGGATCCCCCGCGGGTCCCTGGAGGCCTCTCGGAGGGCCTCGGGAGGCCTGAAAATGGAAATCACTCCAACCAGGCCAGCACTCGAACCTCAAACCCCACTCAACTCCTCCTCCTCCTCCTCCTCCTCCTCCTCCTCATCCTCCTCCTCCTCAGCGCCAATCGATCTGGACAGGTCGGGCCTCACTGGACAGGTCGGTGACTTCGTCACATCAGAGGAGGAGAAGGAGGAGGAGGAGGAGGAGGAGGAGGAGGAGGAGGAGGAGGAGGAGGGGGAGGAGGAGTCGAGTGGGGCTTGAGGTTCCCATTGTCAGGCCTCCCGAGGCCCTCCGAGAGGCCTCCAGGGACCCGCGGGGGATCCCAGCGGAAGACGACGAGAAGGCTTCTCGCGTGACGCACCTGCATGCGATCTCAATAGTTCCCCCACGTACAGTCGGGGCGATGAAGAAGGACCCCTTTTCGTTGGGGAGGGGCTCGGTGTTCCTTGATTGCTTAACAGTTTGCCTCATGTGTTCCTGAGGTCTTCCATGGGAAATCGAAGTTCAACTCCTGGGAGAAAGGGGCCCCGTTCCTTATTTAGGGTTCCTTAGGTCAACGCCCCGATGGTAGAGGAGGTTCAGAATCTGCGAGCGGGCACGAGCGAAACACCCCCCCCCCACCCAGTGAGGCCCGACCTGTCCAGATCGATTGGCGCTGAGGAGGAGGAGGATGAGGAGGAGGAGGAGGAGGAGGAGGAGGAGGAGGAGGGAGGAGGAGGAGGAGGAGGAGGAGAGGAGGAGGAGGAGGAGGAGGAGGAGGAGGAGGAGGAGGAGGAGGAGTAGGATTCGTCATTGGTCCTCTTCCCTGCTCCCACCCCGTCCTGCCCGTGGACAGGTCCCCGGAGGTCCTCGGAGGCCCCCATGAACCTCCTGGAAGGCTCCAAAGGGGCGGGACTCACTGTAGGCATTGCCGTGTTCAGAAAGAGGCCGTAGTAACCTCCATCCTCGAATCTCCTCCGCATCCTCCTTCCTCGAGCTCCTCCTCCTCCTCCTCCTCCTCCTCCTCCTCCTCCTCCTTCTACTCCTCCTCCTTCTCCTCCTCCTCCTCCATTCCCTTCCCTTCTGAGTATCTCCTCCCTGTCGCACCGCACCCCTAGACGTGTCGATAGGACGGGGCAGGTGTTTCACCTGAGAATTCCCCACCATGTATGATCCTGAAGCTTGACATGTGCAACGTATTCAGGGATGGAGCGGGGGGGACAAACCGAGGATCTCGCCCTAGCAAAGCACGCGCTCTTCTCAAAAGTTTGTAACAGCGTCAGGGTTGAAGGAAAGTGGTTTTCAAACGAAGGCTCTCGCCTCAGCGCCCCGCACCGTCATTTTCAAAATCTGCACCAGCTTCAGGGATGGAGGGGTGGGGGGGTGACAGTTCTCTCCTCGCCTTAATGCCACGCGCACTCGTCTTGAACATGTGCAACAGCTTGAAGGATGAAGGGCGGTTCCTCTTCAAACTGTGGATCTCGCCTATCGCTGCGCACAGTCGCAGTGCAATTGTGCAACTGCTTCAAGGATGGAAGGAGGGCGATGTTCAGAAGTGACTCCCGTCGCACCGCCGCGCATACTCGCGCTTTTTGTTGCAACAGCTTCAGATATGAGAGGGGGGCCGTTTCCATAGTGTGTATCTCGCCTTAGCGCCGCGAGCATTCGTCTTAGAAAGTTGCGGAAGGCAGTTCCTTTTCAACGTGGGGCCCTCGAACCAGCGTTAAGTCGGGCCTGTCTTCCTACAAGGGGATTTTGGACGAAAAATTCGCCGGCCCAACGGGCCAGAGGCGTGCTAAGATCTCCGGTAACTGCTCAACAATATTTCTAGTTCGCGCGCGCGGGGCGGGCCCTGGGGGTCCCCGGACGAAAAATACCCCGGCAAGGTCCCGGCAAGGTCCTGGCAGACTCCCGGCAAGGTCCCGGCAGACTCCCGGCAGACTCCCGGCAAGGTCCCTGTTCGGAGCCCAGGAGGGCTCCAAACGGTCCAAGAGAGGCCCGAGAAGCACTCCAGACGGTCCAAGAGAGCAGGGAGACACCGAAATATCACTCCCAAACGCCTGCGATGGCCTCAAGACGGCCCAACAGGCCTTCAAGACGCCCCAAGAGGTCCCTAAGCGGCGCCCCAAGAGGGCTCCCACAAGCAAAAATCGTCCCCTTCCCTTAGGAAAGCGTGCATTTTTAACATATCCGCCTCTTCGTCTTTCACACCTTTCAAGGCGGTCCAAGAGGCCCCCAAGATCACCCCAAGACGGCCCGAGAGACCCTCAAGACCGCTCAAAGACGGCCCAAGAGCGCTCCAAGAAGGCCCAAGAAACCCTCAAGAACTCTTTTTCGGAGCCCAGGAGGGCTCCAAATCGGTCCAAGAGGGGCCCGAGAAGCCCTCCAGACGGTCCAAGAGAGCCGGGAGACGCCGAAATATCACTCCCAAACGCCTACGATGGCCTCAAGACGGCCCAACAGGCCTTCAAGACGCCCCAAGAGGTCCCTAAGCGGCGTCCCAAGAGGGCTCCCACAAGCAAAAATCGTCCCATTCCCTTAGGAAAACGTGCATTTTTAACATATCCGCCTCTTCGTCTTTCACACCTTTCAAGGCGGTCCAAGAGGCCCCCAAGATCACCCCAAGACGGCCCGAGAGACCCTCTAGACCGCTCAAAGACGGCCCAAGAGCGCTCCAAGAAGGCCCAAGAAACCCTCAAGAACTCTTTTTCGGAGCCCAGGAGGGCTCCAAATCGGTCCAAGAGGGGCCCGAGAAGCCCTCCAGACGGTCCAAGAGAGCCGGGAGACGCCGAAATATCACCCCCAAGCGCCTACGATGGCCTCAAGACGGCCCAACAGGCCTTCAAGACGCCCCAAGAGGTCCCTAAGAGGTCCCTAAGCGGCGTCCCAAGAGGGCTCCCACAAGCAAAAACCGTCGAATTCCCTTAGGAAAGCGTGCATTTTAACATATCCGCCTCTTCGTCTTTCACACCTTTCAAGGCGGTCCAAGAGGCACCTAAGATCACCCCAAGACGGCCCGAGAGACCCGCTCAAGACCGCTCAAAGACGGCCCAAGAGCGCTCCAAGAAGGCCCAACAAACCCTCAAGACGGTCCAAGAGGCCCCAAGACGGCCCCATGATTGAGGTCCACAGGGGCAACCTGAACGGAAATTTTGAGCCTTTCGCCCAAACACGCCCCCGAAATGCCCCTACAAGCCCCCAAGTAGCCCCACGAAGCCCCCAAGAGAGCCCCAAGAGGCCCCCAACAGGCCGCAAGAAAGCCCCAAGAGGCCCCCAAGAGACCCCCAGGAAGCTCCCGGGAGGCCCCCAAGAGGCCAGGCAGACCCCCCCTAGAGACCACCAAGAGGGCCCACCCAGAGCCATCCACGAGGCCTCCCAAAGCTCCCAAGAAGCTCCCACGAAGCTTCCAAGGGCTCCCAAGACCCCCAAGAACCCGCGATGGCACAATACGGGCGGGCGGAATGAGCGAAGCGATTCAATAAAAAAATAGTCAAACATTACCCCCAAATGGCTAAAACATATGCAAGAAATAGTCCCCAGACTATTGTTTGACTATTTTTGAATTTTCCTCCTGTAGAGGGACAGGCCCGACTTATACCCAGCGCCGTGAGTAGATGTCACAAGCTCGTAATCGCTTCAAACATCGAGCGCAGGTCGTCCTCAACAAGTATATCTCGCCGCGGCGCCGCGGGCACTCGTCCTTTCGGTGCAAAGGTTTGGCAGGATAGAAAGCTGCTCTTTTCCAAAACTGGGCTTCGCTTGCGATTCCTCTAGTCGGCTGCGGCGGCGGCGGAGCAGGGGGAGGGTCGGGAGCCCAGGAGGAGGAGGAGGTAGATGAGGTAGAGGAGGAGGAGGAGGAGGAGGAGGAGGAGGAGGAGGAGGAGGAGGAGGAGGAGGAGGAGGAGGAGGAGGAGGAGGAGGAGGAGGGGGGGAGGGGAGGAGGGGAAGAGGGGGAAGGGGAGGAGGGGGAGGAGGGGGAGGAGGATGAGGAGGGAGGGGGAGGAGGAGGGGGAAGGGGAGGGGGAAGGGGAGGAGGGGGAGGAGGGGGAGGAAAAGGAGGAGGAGGAGGAGGAGGAGAAAACAAACCGATGCTTCAGAGCCTGTGCGCTGCACGGCTCCAGTGCCGGAGCTGTCGCTTGGGAGCTCCCCAGGCTTCGCGACCACACGCCGTTGAAGCCTGTGCGGCAGGGGCACGGCTGGGGGGCGGTCCTGTTTCGTGCAGGGGGCCTCGGTTGACACTCCGTTGAAGTGGGGATCCAGATGTTGGTTCTCCTGGTGACGCGCGTTGCAGATTCAGTGCGATTCCTCTCAAGGCGGGGCCGTCGCGCTAAGACGGCGAGCCCACCTGTGCCGGTCGTTCGAGGCGGGCGCTCCTCGTTGCGAACAGAAGCAATTGCATCGGCGCGTGGGGAGGGGACTTTGGACGGGAGGGTGTATTGCAGTATCGTCGATGCATCGGTATTATCATCATCTTCCCTCCCCCCCTCGTCGTCGCCGTCGGCTTCCTCCTCCTCCTCCTTCTCTTGCTCCTTCCTCCGCCTTGGCGTCCTCGAGCAGATCCAAGATATCGGTTGAATGCGTCTTGTACACGGTCGCCGCGGGCGCGCCCATCGGGTCCTCTTCGCTTTCGGAGGCCTGGCTGGCCTGGCCGCCAGTGTCGGGGGTGGGGTGGGTGGGGACTGGGGAGGGAGGGATGTTATGGATAAGGGGAGGAGGCAAAACAATACCATACCAAAGGAAGACAGAGATAATGATACAGACACATAACCGTGCATCTGTACATCCATATATACGTCTGTATATACATATATGTATATATGTATCTTTATATGCAGATCGCAATGTACACGTATGCATACATGGGGACAGCAGTTGTGAGCGAGAGAAGGAGAAAGAAACTGATGCAGAAAAGAAGGGCAATCACATACACAGGGGGCAAGGGGGAGAAAGAGAGAGAGAGAGAGAACGAGAGAGAGAGAGAACGAGGGAGATATACGGACTTAGAGGGGACACCACAACACAACACCACACAACGGAACACGAGAAAGAGAGGGCACACATCGAAGAACGAGAAAGAGAGAGGGGACCGGCGAGGGATAAGAGGGAGGGAGGGAGGGATCCATACCTATATGTTTATATACACATACATACACACACGCATATCTTCATTCGTACATGCGTGTGTACTGCACATACGTACATAACTACATACATGCATTCATGCATACATGCATACAACCAAATATACACGCACACCTGCGTAAAACTGTGCATACATATGTATTCACAGACATACCTCCATACACACGTCCGTTTATACCTAACTACCTACCGACATGCATGCATACATACACATACATACACACATACGATACAACACGACACACCACAACCCAACACAACACACGCATCCACCCTCGCATCTACGCTTATCTATTCAAATGCGTCACTAACATAAGCATGTACACGTACACATATACATATGCATATGCACATACATGCACACTCAAGGACAAGTACATTTAGATCTACACATACCATAACGCAGGCATGCACATCTACGTCTGCACGCCCCTTCATGCAGGCATATGTGTAGATTCGCCACCGTGCCTCTGGGCACGGAGTGGGCGTGCTCAAGTCCTTTGCCTTCTCCTCTAAGCCCCCCTCATCACTCATGAGGAGCCTCTCGAGGAGCTGGAGCCAACATTGCCGAACCTCCAAGGGCCTACCCGCGTGCCCCTGCAGAGGTGCAACACGTCAGACGCCGGGGCGCGTGGACACAACTCTACATTTAACGGGCGAAAAACGGTATAGCATAAAACTTGTTCGCTGTCGGGGGCGCCTGTCCCTGGGCGGCTGGAAAGTTTATACCCTTACGGTGGCACCGTAGGGGTATAAACTTTCCAGCCGCCCAGGGGCAGGCGCCCCCGACAGCGAAAAAGTTGATGTTATACCGTTTTTCGCTCGCCGATACATGCAATGGCGGCAGACAGCAGACTGCCAAGCCCCAGGCGGCCTCTGAGACGACACAACGAGGTCCCCGAGACGCCCAACGATCTGCCCAAGACGCCCAGGATTGCCCCAGGACGGCCCAAGAGGCCTCCAAGACACCCCAAGAAACCTCCAAAAGGCCTCCCAAGAGGGCTCCAAGGGGCACAACACATAGATTGTCCAAACCGGTGTTTGACGGATTTTGGCGTCCAAGGGATGTCCCGTCGTAGCACGACCTCGGCCAGAGTTTCAACACGCGTTTCCTTGAAGGCGAGGAGGACGCGATTGTGGGCCCCTCGCTCCTTGTTGCCGGGTTGTTACCCGCTCAACAATTCAATCTGCTGCACCAGAAGCCTGTTGCCCACCATCTTCGCCCAGCTTGTACCGCAACGCTCTGAAAACGCCACCAGCCCACTAGGCGTAGGTGGTTTAGGGTGCTAATGTTTCCCACCTCGTGTTTACCGTGCCAGGGAAAGGTCCCTCGCAACAAAACAATACGAAGTGCACTTTGCACCAACATCTGGATCACGTGCGGACGCACCGCGATCACTTTATGTTGGGTTCTGACAGGGGCTGCGGAGGTTTGCGCATATTGCCTGCTGTGTGCAATGCCAGCGCTCCCAACCATCCCTTGCCAAAAACATTACGAGCTGCATTTTGCACCACCATCTGGATCGTGCGCGGGCGCCCCGCGACCACTTGCATTGGTTGTTGGCAGGGGCGGTGGAGGGGCCGCCTGTGGTGTGCGGTTCCAGCACTCCCAGCCATCGCTTATGAAACCAATACGAAAAACACGTTGCACCAACATCTGGATCTTGCGCGGACGCCCCGCGATTACTTTTCGACTACACGCAAGAATGACCCTCGGCAAGAATGACCTTTGGTGCGCGGCTTTTGGGGGGCCGCGGGGGGGTCAACCGTGAGCGCGCAAGACGCTACTACCGCATCGCGTTCGGCGGTCGGGGGACCCCATTGGGCCCGCTCCAAAGGTCACTCCGGCGAAAGGTCACTCTTATGTTGTCTAGTCGTTTGGTTTTTGAGAGGGACGGCGGGGGGGAGCGGCATATTGCCTGCTGCGTGCAAGCTCGCCGCCCCTTGCAACAGAAATACTGCGAACCGTTCACCTTGCAAGGAGCGGCTGGGGTGGGTGGGCAAAATACAGTCATCGGCCTGACCTAAGGAACGATAGATGCGGAACGAAACCCCTTTTTTGCAGAGGGAATAACGCACAAATAACGATACAAAACAAATAACGCATAAACGGAACTATACATAACGCATGCAAGCCTCAGGGACGACCGAGACCTTTTTGGAAAATAGAAACGTTCCTTGTTCATGCCGCTCACTGTACTGCCTTCTGCGTGCAAAGCCTAGCGGTTACCCGGGTCAAAAACGAGTGCACAATGACATCGGGTGCAATACACAGTGCTCGCACACCCGCAGTCACTTTGCATGTGTTTTTGCATTCGACATGTTGCCCAATGTGGCGCACCTGGTGCGCGTGGCGCACCTGGCACGATCGGCGCAACTCGCGGGCATCGCGCACCTGGCTGGCGTCTGCATTGGTCCCGATGGTTGTCGATGGCTGCCCCTGCGTTTGCTGCAGCTCGAGTGCTACTGATGTAGAGGGAGGGCGGGTGCGAGTGAGCGGCACGGCTTGCGGTTTGGTGTGACTTGAACTCCTCTCCCTGGACCTGGACCCCCCCCCGCGGGTCGTTGGAGCGTTGAGCGATGGCCGCCAAGATGGCCTCAAGAGTCCCCAGGAAGGCCCCGAAAGCCTTCAACATTGCCCCCTGCTCCCATACCAGAAGATCCACGAGCACATGTTATGGTACCTCCTGGGTCTGCTGAGGCTGATCCCGACCTTCGGTTTGGCGGCTGCCCCGCCTCTTTGTTTCGTGGCTTGCCCCCACCCTTCTCTGACCAAGGCAACTTGACTGGGCATCGTTCTTAGATGGGCTGGTGGGAGTACTTGTTGGTCAACAGGCTCGCGAAGCGGGTCGAAAGCCGTCCGAACACTAGACGGGCCGCGACGAGGCAGCAGGAAAAGAAAGGCAAGCGAAGCGAGCGAGCGGGCAGCCACTCGGAAGGAGAACCAGCACCGATACTCCCAGACCCGGTGGCGCTGGAAATCCCGGTGGCGACCAGCAAGGAAGCGCAGCCAAAATGGCCCTGGTGGGCGTACGCGAAGCACGAGCCCCCTGAAGAGTTCGAAAGGACATGTCGTGGTAGCCTCTCGGGGGACCGCCCTGCCTGGTTCTTGGCCTGCACCCGGTGCGCAGCGCCGACAAGGTGAGGCTCGCCCCGTGGAGCTCCGAGGGTTCGAGTCCAGGGGCTCGGGGATGGACAGACCCCCTCTTTAGTAAAACACGTGGTTTGGTGAGAACGGCCTGAGGCCCAAGCCTGGCGGGCGCAAGCCTGGAACATAACGGCCACGGCGCCCTCTCGAGAACCGAAAACGGATAGTTCACCAATCGACGTGTCGCTGCTGGGGGTTCTGCCCACCCCCGACGAGCATGGGGGGGGGAGGCACCCAGAAGTCCCCGGATCTTTCCTCAGCCGTGGCCAGGAGCATCCGCTGTCTGGCCGACACCCAAAACCCGCGACCGAGTGCCCCAACGCTAGGATGACCACGGCCTCGCCGTCGAGCTCTGATCTTCGGGTTTGTTGCCTCGCTGCTCGGTGCTCGCCTGCTGCTCTTGCGCCGCGGCACCTCTTGCAATGTTCTTCGGCTGAGAAACCTGTGCCCGTGCGCGTGGGGCCTCCTGCACACTGCACGTTTTCCCTGCCTCCTCGGCTCGTGTCGGCACCCGGGGCTGACATCGGATCGAGAGGTCTGGAGCTGTTTTCAATCCGTGGGGCCGTCGCGCCGAGTCATCTCAAGCCAGTCGTCGGCCTTTGCGCCATGAGCTCAAAGGGCTGCGGAGAGACCCCAAACAAGACACGTCGGACCCAGGGAGGAGAGGAGAGATCAAGGAGGCATAAGGCATGCTGCACTGCTCGCGTCTTATCCGCCTCCCCGCGTTCCTCTTTCCGCGAGCGACGCGCGAATATCTCCGCGCTCTCGCGCGGACGCAAGGGGGAATGGCAGCTCTCCGGCCCAGACGGCCAAGCGCGAAACCTCGTTTTCTCTCCGCGCCCCCGTGGCTGACCCAGACCTGTGTATGCTGCTGCTCGCGCCGCGAGTCGGTGGCCTGCACGAGCGCCGTCAGCGTCTGCTTGCTGGCCGCGGTGAACGACGCCGCCTCCATGACGGCCGTGAGGCCCTTCATCAGGTTCTTAAAGCTCGAGGTGTCCACCTCGGAAGGACGCCAGCAACAGGGCGCCGCCCCCGACAACGCGAATCGAACATGATTACGCTGAGAGCGTTTTGGTAACATCTGGCTTGGCTCGTGTGAAACTCGCCGACCCTTCGGCGTGTGAGAGACGCCGTCGTCGTCGTCGTCGTCGTCGTCGTCGTCGTCGTCGTGGTCGTGGTTGTGGTCGTGGTCGTCGTCGTCGGTCCAAAGGAAACAGAGGAACAAGGACAAGGAACGCAGCAGTTACGTCCACCCTCCTCTCCTCATGCCTTCCCTGCCAAGGGGTGGGGGGGGGGGTTGGGGAGGAGGAGGGGGAGGAGGAGGGGAAGAAGGAGGAGGAGGAGGAGGAGGAGGAGGGGGAGGGGGAGGAGGGGGGAGGAGGAGGAGGAGGAGGAGGAGGTCCCGGGTCAGAATACTGCCCCTCCCCCGAGAGTCCCGGGAGGGCGGCCGCCGGCGGGGGTCCCCGGGGAGGGTCCCGCCCGTGGAGGGGGGGGGGTTTGGGGGGCCCGGGCCCGAACACCGCCCCACCTTCCCAGGGCCCTAGCGGCTTCGGCGGGGGGCCGCCATCGGGGGGTCCCGTGGGGAGGCCTCGCCCGTGGTGGGGGGGGGTCGTCCTGGGTCAGAATACTGCCCTCCCCTGGTCCCAGCGTGGGGCCGCCAACGGGGACCCGGGGAAGGTCCCGCCTTGAGGGCGGGCGGCACCGACCAGAAGGCCTTCGCGCAAGGCGACATTGTGTGTTAGAACTGATTGTTTCTCGCGTTCCCAGGCCTCCACCACAAGCACCGAAGACGCTGACAGGCAACAGTCTTCGGCGTCTCCAGACATGTTGCTTCCCATCGTTGAAGCTCGCCGCGGACGCACCGTGGAGCTAGGTGCCTGTTTTGCACTGGTGTCAACGCGGTGTCCGTTATTGTTCACCGTTTTAATCTCTGCGCAGGGGAACAAGATCAGCCGTCCCGTCGCCACAGCTGATGGGTCGCCACAACTAATCGCACAACACATGACCTTAAAATATTGAGCAACAACGTGTTTTGTGTTTCAACAGGTGACCACCCCAAATAGAAACCGTTCAACAAGATATGTTAACCAGCGTGGACCCCAAGCAATGATCCATTGCACGACGAACACAATGCGGTGCAAACTAAGCGGTGTACCTTATTATATGTGAGCTATGTGGTATGAGCCTTGGAAGTTTACGCTACGCAATGTGAATCATGTTGTGCCGGCTTTTCCGTGCAATCTGCGGTGTGAGTTGGAGGTGAACGATACGCAGTGACATCTACGTGGTGTAAGTTATGGTGTGCAAGCTATGTGGTGCTAGCTATGTCGTGTAGGTTATGTGGAAAAGGCTACGGAATGTAAACTCAGCGCACGAGGCGTCCACGAGCGCCCACGAGGTGGCTCGGGCGGCAACGTGGCGTGACCTCGGGATACCCACACAGCGCACGTGGCGCCACCGAGCGCCCATGCGGTGGCAGTGGCAGCAACGTGGCAAACCTCCAGAATACCAACGAATTAGATTCACGAAGCGAAAAAAAAACAAACACTGTTTGGAAAACATAGCGCTTTAAATATGAACCAGAACATTTGTCCAGAGGCCTCCAGACCTCCTGAAAAGGCACCGCTGGGGACCCTTTGCATGTGCAGGCACACCGAATGGGGCCCAGAACAGGTGGGATCAGACGATCACACGACTCTCAAACCTGCGACGTCGTGATGCTTGTTCCATGCGGAACCCACTGAAATCCCACCTTTTCCGGAGACCAGTTTCTCCGTCCTGTGTGGTTTTCTGATCCTGGGGCCAGACATTGTCCTGGGGTCAGAAGGCGCACCCCTCTCCTCCCCTCCCCTCTGAATGCAATGCTCATTTCTTCCCCTGATGTTGTTTTTTGCTCTCACCAACATCATATCTCGCATATGGTTTCTAAAAAGATGTGTCCCGAGTTGGCTGGTCCTCCCGCTGCAACGTTGGCCACACGTCAGAATCGGCGCTTTGTCTCAGTCGCGCAGAATCGCGCTCTAGCTTGAGTGCGGGCCACATTTCTGGTTCCGATTCCTCCATGATGTTCGTCCTTCCTTTTTCCTCTTTTGCATTTCCCTGGTCCTCCTGCTCTGCCCGCTCTTCCTGCTCTTGCTGCCGCTGCTCCTCCTTCTTTCTCAACCTCCTCCTCTCGCTTCTGCTTATCCTCCTGGTCATCCGCCACCTCCTCCTTCTCCTCCTCCTCCAATATGCACAACTCCCCTTTCTGATTGAGCACCATACGATGGAGTCATAGGGAGGATCCAGGTCCGAATGCACCCTGCACCCCAGCCCGAAGATAGAACATAATCAAGCGCAGTGGGAAGGGATGGGTGAGAGGGGTAGGATGTCAGGTATGGCACGACTGCGCCCAGCGTACCTCTCACACCTCTCACCTCTCATATCTCCTCCTCCCTCTCCTCCTTACCCTCATCCTTCTCATCCCCTCCTTTTGTCCTCTCACCTCATCCGCTCCTCCTCATTCTCCTTCCCCTCCCGCTCCCCCCTCCCCCCCCTCTCCTTCTTCTCTCTCTCCCCCTCCTGCTCCTCCCCCTCCTCCTTTCTCCTCCTTCCTTTCTCCTCTTCCGCATTTCCCTGGTCCTCCTGCTCGTCCCGCTCTTCCTGCTCTTGCTGCCGCTGCTCCTCCTTCTTTCTCAACCTCCTCCTCTCACTTCTGCTTATCCTCCTGGTCATCCGCCACCTCCTCCGTCTCCTCCTCCTCCTCCTCCTCCTCCTCCTCCTCCTCCAATATTCACAACTCCCCTTTCTGATTCAGCACCAGACGATGGAGTCATATGGAGGATCCAGGTCCAATGCACCCTGCACCCCAGCCCGCAGATAAAACATAATCAAGCGCAGTGGGAAGGGATGGGTGAGAGGGGTAGGATGTCAGGTATGGCACGACTGCGCCCAGGGTACCTCTCACCTCATCCTCTCCTCCTCTCCCTCGTTCCCCTCTCGCTCCCCCCTCCCGCTCCCCCCTCCCCTCCCCCTCTCCCTCCTGCTCCTTTCTCATCCTCCCATCCTCTTGCCCTCCTCCCCCCCTCCCACCCTCCCCCTCCGCCCCTCCTCCCCCTCTCCTCCTCCTCCTCCTTCCTCCTCCTCCTCCCTCCTCCTCCTCTCTCCTCCTCCTCCTCCCCCTCCCCTACCCCTCCCCCTCCTCCCCTCCTCCTCCCCCTCCCCTCCTCCTCCTCCTCCTCCTCCTCCTCCTCCTGTCCCCCCTCTGATCTTCCCCTCCACTCCTCCTCCACCCCCCTCCTGGCCCAGCCAGGAAGCCGCCCACACGCCGAGCGCAGGGGCCGGCTCGACGTGCACGCCCTGGGCGGGCCACTCGCGCAGGGCCCGGGCCCCCTCCCAGAACGCCGCGGAGATCTTCGACAACCTCCTTCGAACTTATTGTTTTGGACCTGGAAAAATCGCGACGGACGTTTCTGTTTGTTTGCTTGTTTGTCTGTCTGTGTTTTGTATGTTCAGCCCCTGGAGGGCCTCTACCAGGCCTCGGGACCGTCGGACAACGACTCAGGGTGACACACTGGTCCAGGGACTGGGTCGAGACCTCTGGGGATCGACCTTGCGGCAAACTCCGCCGACCCCTTGGGGTCACAGCGTGTGAGATGCGTCCCCCTCCCCAACCCCCTCCCCTGGGAACCTGGCCCGGCCGGCTTGGAAGGGGCAGAGGGGGGGAGGGCAAAGGTGCCGGCCGCACCCTTGGAGCCTCAGGGGGCCTCCAAAACGGGCCAAGAAGGCCCCAAAAGGCCCCCGGGACCGCCCAAGAGGGCTACGAGTCGCCGAAAGATCGCTCCAAGACTGCCAAGATTGCCTCCGGAGGGCCCCAGAGGCCCCCAAGACGCCCCAAGAAGCCACCAAGAGGCGTCCCAAGAGGCCCTCCAGAAGCAAACATCGTCCCATTCCCTAGGGGAAACTTATAGATTGTTAGCACATTCGCCTCTTGGGCTTTCACGAGGCCCACAACAGCCCAAGAAGCCTTTGAGATCGACCCAAGATAGCCCAAGAGGCCCCCAAGAAGGCTCCGAGGGCTCCAAGACGGCCCCAGAAGCTTCCCAAACGACCCAGGAGGGCCCCAGGACGGCCCCAAGAGGAGGCCCAGAGGGGGAACCCGAATGAACATTTCGAGCACTCGGCCCCGAAAAAACCTGAGGAGGCGCCAATAGGACCCCAAGAGGCTCCCACGAGGCCCCCGAGAGGCCCAAAAGAAGCTCCTAGAGGCCTCAAAACAGCTCCCAAGCGGCCTCAAAACGGCTGCCAGGAGAGCCCAGAGAAGCCCAAAAGCAGAGCCGCGATCCGCCAACCGCCCCCCGACGAAATCGCCAAAGGCTGAAACCCCACATTTTCCCAGAACTCGCGCGCGTTCCGCAAACTTCGTTTTGCACTCTTACTGCCGCCCCAAGGGGTCGGCGGTGCGGCGTCAGCCAATGATCATCACGTCGGAGGTCTGGGAAATGGGCACCAACACCAACACAGGGGGGCTGCCTCCACCGGGGGAAGAGGATACCAATTTGTTGGTGTCGGTGGCCATCTGTCGGCCACCCAGGAAGCCCGAGTATTGCCACCAACCTCAAGATCGGGATCATCTTCCCTCGGTGGAGGCACATCGCCGATACTTGTGTTGGATTCAACCTCTACTCTTAGGTCGGGCGTGTCCTCCTACAGGCGGATTCTGAAAGACAAATGAAAACTGGTCAACAAACAATCAAACATCGTCGAGCGAGCACGAAATGTCGCCACCAGACTATCTCTTTGGCTGTCCTTGAATACTCCTCATGCAGAGGGACATGCCCGACTCAACTCCAGGTCTCCAAAGAGGCCCCCGAGGAGGCCCCAGGAAGCCCCACGAGAGGCCCCGCGGGAGGCTCCCGCGAGGGGTCCACGAGGCCCCCCGTCCGCGGCCCACCAGCAACGGCGGGACGGGACGAGCGCCGCCTGAAAATCACGGGCAGAGCGGGACGATTGCGCACGTCGCAGCCCCCCAGGGAGCCGCGAAGTCTCGGCTGCATCTGCGTGTCTTGAAGGTCGCTGGGGGGGGCAGCGTTGTTTCGAGGGCCAGATCCCCGCACGCTCGGCGGGCGCGCTTGATCGGTCAACAGCAATCCTTCCGGCCGCCCTTCGCGAGAAGCTCTGATTTCAGGTTTGCTCTTGCCGACGATTGGGCTGCTCATGCTTGCTCTTGCCCTGCAAAAGCATTGCCCTCTCCCCCGTCGCCCCAGAAACACAGATCGCGTTCGCTGCCCCTCAGCGAGCTTCAATGCGTGTCCTTCCGCTCCGCCGCATACTCCGCGGCCCCCCCCCCCGGGGAGCCGAGAGCGTCTCGGCCGAATCAGTGTGGCCCTCCTTTTTTACGCCGGGCCTCCCACGAGCGCGCGGATCAAGGCGCCCCTCCTCCAGGGAGCCCCAAAATCTCGGCCGGAGGGGGAGGAGGAGGAGGAGGAGGAGGAGGAGGAGGAGGAGGAGGAGGAGGAGGAGGAGGAGGCGCACCGCCTGGGCGAACGCCGCGGGGTTCTTCGCCATCTCCTTCGAGATGATGCTGATGGCCCTGCCCAGCGTGTCGATCGAGTCCATGAGCTCGGCCTCCCCCCACTCCCCGCTTGTGCTGGGAGGGAGGTGGGAGGAGGACCCGGGCGGACAAGGGGGAGGTGGGAATAGGAACGAGGACGAGGATAGACCAGAGTGAGCCCAGGCTGCAGTGCAGCCTCCCGTCCAAGGTCTAAAACAGGGCTAGGATCGGGATAAATCGCTCCAGAGCGTTCCGGAGCGCTCTCAGAGCGTTCCGGAACGCTCTGGAGCGGCCGCGGCGCCCAATACATCCTCCATTCCGACGATTCTCAGAGATTTCGAGTTATCCCGATCCGATTTTGCCCCGATCTTCGCGTCGTTTGAAAGGTCCCCTCCTCGAAGCCCCTGCGTGCCAGCGACTCCCCGGCCAGAAGCCAGCTTTTTTGCAAGGAGAGTGCCCCTGTGGGCCTGCTATTCTGGCAGACGCACCGAGGAGGAGGGGGAGGAGGAGGAGGAGGAGGAGGAGGAGGAGGAGGAGGAGGAGGAGGAGGAGGAGGAGGAGGAGGAGGAGGAGGAGGGGGAGGGGGAGGAGGGGGAGGAGGAGGAGGGGGAGGGGGAGGAGGAGGAGGAGGAGGAGGAGGAGGAGGAGGAGGAGGAGGAGGAGGAGGAGGAGGAGGAGGAGGACGAGGAGGAGGAGAGGAGGACGAGGAGGAGGAGGAGGGGGAGGGGGAGGAGGGGGAGGAGGAGGAGGAGGAGGAGGAGGAGGAGGAGGAGGAGGAGGAGGAGGAGGAGGAGGAGGAGGAGGAGGAGGAGGAGGAGGAGGAGGAGGAGGAGGGTAGGATCATAGAGTTCAACGTCCAGCGAACGCCCCCAGTTGGCAAGGAGCCCCCCTCCATCCTTGCGGCTGCGAGAACAGGAAGGGCTGCGCGAGGAGGATCAGGACGAGGATCGGGTCGGGCGAAAGGGGGGGATAGCAAAGGGGGGGGTTGAAAATCAGCTCACGTAGCTGATTTTCCCGGCGCCTCCCGGCGCCGGAGGCGGCTATGTATCGAGGAATGGGCCCCTCGGTGGGGCCGAAACCACCTGCATGCAGCAAATTTCGTAACCCCCCCTTTCCCAATCCCCCCCTTTCGCCCGACCCGAGAGGAGCATTAGCAGGAGGTCCTCGGAGGCCTCCGAAATCCCAGGAGGCCTCCAGAGGGCGAAGGAGGGCAAGACACAAGGAAAACTCCATGGCCCTGCTTCTCCTCCTCCGACGACGACGTGAGCCACGCCTCGTTTGCAGCGAACTCGGAGGCCTCTTTCTTCCTGATGGCCGTGGCGTCGGTCAGGTCCTTGGTCTGCGTTGCGATGCTCGCGACAAGCTCCTCGATCTTGCCCTCGGACACGGCGATGTCGCTTGTCAGCTTGCCGATGGAGGCCTCGAGGCCGCCACGCGCAACAATGTGTTGACAAATCCAAACAACAAGCCTTCGCAAGTTCAGCCTCTGGGAGTGCCTTCGGGCTCCAAGATTCGACACCCCTCCTCATCCTTCTCCAGGAGGGGGGGGGCCAGACGTTAGACCTCTGGACAACAAATCAGGACGCATGGCTTTTCGCCGCCTTCCCGTCGAACTCAGGAACTGCCAACGAACAATATTTTTGATTGCGCGTGTGTGTGTGTTTACATATTGCTTCCGGGACGAAGACCTCTCCCTGGAAGGGACAGATCGGGGGACCCCGCAATATGAGACTAGAGGCCTCCTAGATGGGGTCCGAAGATCTCGCCGCATCGCCGATACATCGGCGATGCATCGGCGATGCATTGGCGATGCATCGGCGATGCACCGGCGATGCATCGTCGACGTGGGCGATGCATGGGCGCCGTCGACGTAAAGCGAATCGGGTACTACATCGAGCCGCATCGGCGATACATCGGCGATGCGGCGCGATCCTCCGACCCCGTCTACTCTGACCCCATCTAGGAGGCCTAGAGAGACGTCAGAAGTCTGGGGCTCTCCCACATCCCGCTGCCCCCGATCGAAGATTGAAGCGTTGTGTCGTGTCTTGCCCTCTTTGGCTTCCGGAGGCCCCCGGGGGGACACCGGGAGGCCCCCGGGGACTTCTTCTCCACGAACGACTGCGATCCCGTGCATGGTCCTGGCCCGCACGCACCGAAGAGTTCCCCTGGGGCCTTGCGTTGAGGCCCGGTGAGACCTCTTCCTGCGTGAGTTTATTATGTGTCTTCTGGCCCACACTGTGGCTTGTGGATGGGGGCTAGCGATCTTCTTCTACACTTGCGGGAGGCCCCAACTGCCTTCATCTCCTCGGCCTTCTCATCTTCATCGTCCTCGTCCCCGTCGTCGTCCTGTCCTTCCTTCTCCTCTGGAGCCTCTGGGTCCTCGAGGCCCCAACTGCCTTCATCTCCTCGGCCTTCTCATCTTCATCGTCCTCGTCCCCGTCGTCGTCCTGTCCTTCCTGCTCCTCTAGAGCCTCTGGGTCCTCTGTGGACTTAGTCCCTCTTCGAAACACAGGCACGACGGGGGAAAATTAAATGGACTGGGAAGGGCCCCCTCCTGCAAACGTCTTGTATGTGGGGTCCCCGCCCTTGCGCATGTACTTCAACGTGCCCACTTTCCCTGACCCAACAGACCGAAAGCGACGCGAGGCCAGGTTTTTGACCTGTCGCCCCGCGTGGCACCCACACTGCATGCAGAAATGCAAACATTTGCAGATCGCCCACATTCGGTAAGAAGCATGGGTCTCAGCCAGCACTCGTGGCTTGCCAGGGCACTCTTCTGTGGATTATCGCACCGTGCCGAGCTGCGCTGGCCCCGCACGTCCGGCAACCCCCACCTCTCGAGCGCGAAAGATACCCGTATCCTTACCTAGACAGGGTGGCAAAGGGGCCGGGGGGGCGGTTCGTCGCAGCTGACGGCGGCTGCACAAGTGTAGAAACGACAGCCGATCGAGCATTGCAGACCGCTGTCTTCTCGGGGCGCACGTTAGCACCGATCGCACGTGCGTTCGAATCGGCGGAGCGCCCGACCCTGCGTTGGTTGTTGTCGACGTAGACCAGCTACTGCGGAGGCGGGCCCCCAGACACACATCCGGGCGTTGAGGAGTCAACGCGCACTCGGGGGCACATGCGAACAACTCTGGCGCGAACGTCGTTGCGCGACAGCCGCCCTAGAGCGAATTGCTCGATGCAGAGACATCGCGAATCTGTGCCCTGGGCGAGGTCGCCAGAGGCCGCCCCCCTTGGACGGCCGTCTGCGGATCACCCCAGCTAAGTACGGTTGCCCCATGAAAACCCAAAAACATACCCGTACCTAGCCGGGGTGCCGTTTCGGTGGTTTCAGGCAGGTCCCCGTACCTAGTCGAGGTGGCGGCAGGCCCAAAACGCTCTCGAGCACATATCATGCCCCCCAGAGCCGTCCCCGACGTGGCCGCTGCGGCCCCCTGGGGGCGCGACATTGCAACGTCGTTCCTCAGGGCAGGCCCAGACGCATTGGTTGCCAGGATAGCGAGGAAGTGCAACTCTTTATCGATTGAGACAGGCGCCGCCACATATGGGCGGCTTTGAACCGCGCACGCACCACGATGCCCCGAGACGTCCCTAACAAAAACCAGCGCGTGTCGCTGCAATCAGACACCCAACCATCGAGCGCGCCGTTGCGTCTTGACGCGCGGATGCTGCACTGGCGCGCGCGGGGCAAGCTGACCGGGCACAATGGCAAGCGCCCAGTCCCCCGGACGGCCCATCTCACCTTGGCTGGCCCCGGGCACGGGTATCTTTCGGACAAATGACCACCTGCCTTCGACCCTCGTGAAGCAAGTGGCCTCTATAGGATTTTAATACATGAATTCACGAATAAATTCATGTATGAACTCATCGTTGTTTGTTATACAAAATCCCTTTATTTTTAATACATGATCCGCGCGCGGAGCATGTATTAAAAACGGCATTGTAAGCTGGAGCACAATCATGGACTCATGTCCTACCAGCTGGGATTCCCGAGGGACCTTCTTGGGCCTGGGGATCCCAACTTCGGTGATGCGCTTTGGAGGGCCTGCGAAGAGGACTCGCGAAATGCCTGCCGCAAATTCCAACCGTCAGAATTCCGACGGAATCCACTGACCAATGCAATTTTCGGTGCCTGCATCTGCCAGCTTCCAGAAGATCAGGCGCCATACTTCCCAATGAGATTTTGGGGCTCGGCGCGTTACCTCTGGGCCCTTCTGGATACCTATCAGGAGGTTCTTGTGATGTGTGATGATGGTTGCCATAGGGCCCATGAGGCGATGGGCCATCTAGAATGCGCGCTGCCCAGCCGAGCCCGCGCTCTGCAGACCTGTTCGCTGCGTCTCGCGGGAGACACCACATCTCACCCCGCCCGAGTCATCCGCTCCACCTCAGGATCGATCCCCGACCCGTCTATGAAGATATGCTCTCCTACGTAGCCGCAGCCGAGGGGGCAGCGCTGAGGACGCCCATGCCCTTGCAGTGGCGGAGGCATGGCGCCTCGCATACTATGCGTGATGCCGTGCTCCGAGTCGATCCATGGTTGCCTCTACCGATGGACGCAAGCTCATCGCATCCTGTGTCTCGACGCCAAACCTCCATGCCGTCGCCCCTGCATGGGCGGGTGTGGAATGATGCCAGAAGACTGTCGGCGCCACCTGCAAGCAGACGGAACTGATTGGCGGTCGTCAAGAATCTTGGAGTGCGTCGACATCCCAACGGCCGCATGCATTGAAGCTAAATCTGCTGCGACTCCTTATCCCCTGCCTCGGGCAACTTGCAGCTCATCTCTGATCGGGTCGAGGAAGGGCCCCCCCCCCGCCCGCCCGCGCGTTTTGCCGCCGGTGCTTCTAGTTGCCTCTGTGGACCTCTTTGTGCGATCGCCCTCTGAGACTTCCTGCTGATCTTGTCTAGATGGATCTCGAACCCTTGGGGGTCCGCCCTTTTTTTTCTGCAGGATCGTATCTGCCATCCCAAACGTCCTGCAGTTGTGGCCGCAACTCCCCCTGGCCCAGACGCTGTAGCCGACCCGAGAGGGTCGCTTCGAAGACGACCTTCGCGCTGCCCAGGGGGGCCTGGCCTTGGCGGAGCGCCTGGGGCCGCGGCGCGCGGGGCGCGGTGTTTGCCGCGCAAGCGGGGTTGAGATCGGGCGGGTCGCGCAACAACTGCCGCGCCGCCCTGAACGTTCCATTGGCTGCTTTAAACAGGGCAAAGGCCGACGCAGCGCGAAATCAAAGAGGTCTGCGTCGGTCATGCCGCGGACTCTGGCGCCGCATGTCGCCAGAACCGGCCCGCCAGCTCGGGGCCCTCTGGAGAGCCCGCGTCCGTGGTGCTTGAGAGTTCTGAACCTGTGTGCCCTTTTTTCGGAAGCTCTTCACTCGGCCTGTCCGAACTCTCCTAACCCAGCGCTCCCGATAATGATCCCCGTGGGATAATGAAGTCCGGAAGTGCGACGGGGATCATCCACGATTCTCACGGGGGAGGTGATGCTAGTTAATTTATGATGATGATGATGACGATGATGTTCATGATGACAATGATCCTAGGCGCTCGTGTAGATTGACCTTGTAGATCTTGGCACAGGTCTGAGGCGAGAGATCTCGAGGCTCGTGGCTGCAACTTGCCTGCGCAAGAGAGGTCCTCGGCGCTTCTGGCCAACATACCTCTCTTGCGCTCATGCAGGCTCTGCGACCTCGAACCGCTCGCCCACGCAGGCTCTGCATCCTGTGGGGCCGTCCTTGAACGGGAGGCGCTTGGTGCTGGCCTGGGCGGCAGCGCTTGCCCCCTCGCAGGTGGCGTGCTTCGGCTCGACCGCCGTGGGGCCCTTGAAGGGCTTGGCCTTGCTCTTGGCCTTGGCCTTGACCCAGTCGTTGTCGCAGGCCTCGTCGAGCTTGTTGATCCAGGGCGCGCGTCGTGCTGATGCTCGCGGGCGTTTGGCGGCCCTCGCTTCGGATCTCGCGCAGGGCGCGCTCGATCCAGCGACTCGTCCACAGGCCGCAGGGCCGGGCGTCGGCCTGGAACATGTCGTTGCTCCTCGCAGGGCAGGTCTCGCCAGGGCCAATGGCGCCGAGCTTGCGGAGAATCCTCGCGGCGGCCTGGGGGGCCGCGCGCGAACCCTACCCGCGGTTTCTGAAGAGGAATGTGGGGTTCACTTCGTTCGGCAGCTCCCGATTAAAGTGAGCCCTACCTCCCCCTTAGAAATCGCGGGGTGTAGGTGTGAGTTCGCATGTGGCCCTTCAGGCCTCCGTAGCGTTCTCGGGCGGCTGCATGAGTGCGTCGCGGTGCTCCACCGCGACGCCCCCGCCGATCCTCGAGTCCTTGGCGGGCGCTGCCACAAGTGCCCCCTGCCCAGGGTGCCTCCAGAATTCGATCCAAAACGGAGCGAAACATCGGGGGCACCTTGGGGTAGGGGCAACT